TATTATTTTACATTGATTTTTTCCTTCAGAAATTCTGTAGTTTTCTCAAATTTTAGTCCCTACTTCCCTAAAAGTATGCCGTCTCTTACTGTCTTTGTCTTTATGATGTAAACAGCTGAGAAAAATTGCATTACTGCTCTCATTAAACAATTGAAGTGAATGTTCCTTTTCAAGATTTAACTGTTATATTCTGAAAGGTCTTTTCACTGAGATTATTTCAGTCCCAAATTGCTTCTTTCTGAAGCAAAATTCTAGAATGTTGTCTTGACATTACAAAAATATTTCTCTGACATTCAGACTCTGACTTCTTGTGCTTATCCTCATGATATTTTAGAATTCTCTTTTGCAGCTCATCTAGAAATACTATGATCATTTAGCATCAATGAGAAATTTTGCAGCAATTCAGTCACTCAGACTAAGCAAACATCAAATAAAGGCAGGGAGGTCAATGGGTGTCAGAACTGTCTGTATGTTTTAATGATTCACCTGGGGAAGCTAGTTGGATTCCATGTTTTAAGATTTGTGATAAGTGCGGTCAGGTTATGTAATTAATAGTAGTTGGGAACTTAGTGAGCAGTGAAATTTAAATTCTCCCCTCTTATTAGTACTACATAAACTGTAAATATTTCTGTTTCTTCGCTGTCATTGTGCCTGGTTTCATTGTCCCTGGTCACAACAGAGGCCTGCTGTACCATAGGCTGTTATAAGCATGGCCAGTCAATTGAGGGAGGTGGTTATCCCCCTCTCCTCAACACTTGTAAGACAACATCTACATACTGCCTCCAATTTTAGGCCATCCAGTACAGGAAAAACATTCATAAACGGGAGCAAGTATGGGGGAGGCCACCAGGATGTTCAGGTCTGGAGCATTTTTCCTGCCCTTCAGGCTGAAGGACCAGGGCTGGTTCAGCCTGGAGGAGGGACAGCTTTGTGGCGGAAATGACAGCAGCCCCCAAAACCTAAGGGGAAATCATCAAGACGAAACCAGGCTCTTTGCATTCATGTAGGCTGTGAGTATCAAGGACAATGGGTATAAGTCAAAACAACACAGTTTCAGGCTTGATATAAGTATAAAGAAATTCTCAGTGTGGACGGCCAAGCAGCGGAGCAGACCGTCCAGAGAAGCAGTGCAGGCTCCATCCCTGGGGGCTTCAAGCTCCAGTTTGGCAAAACCCTGAGAGACCTGGTCTGAGCTCATGGCTGATCCTTCTGTAAGCAGGAGACCACCTTTGGTCCTTTCCACTCTGATTTATACCATAATCCTATATCATAACTCCATGATTTAACATTTCTTTAATAGGTAGGATAAATGGTCAGCTCACAACTGGATGTCAGACAAGTGAAAAGTAAGCACCCAACAGGTTTTTTTTCCGTGTCTTATAAATTTTCATAAGAAAATTAGAATGCACTGCTGTAACACACATCTGTTAACAAATCTTCTAGGCATAATTATGCTGAGAAGTCACAGGAATGAAAGCAGAGATGACATAAAAATAAATACGTGCTAATTTATATTTATTTATGTATGCAGTCTCCTGAGTAAGCCTAAAAGTACAGATCAGTACTTCTTTACTGGTATTCATTTCCTCTTACTCATAAAGGCTGAAGAAATTTGAAAAACAAACACAACATGATATGATGAAGGATGAAAATCACATAATGAATAAAAATAGTAATTTGTAATTTTTTGGAACAATAGTGAAGTTCATGAAAACTCATAGGGTAGCATTTGATGTAAAGAAATTAAGCTTATTAAATATTTTAATCCCTTACTCAAATATACACAAAAACCTGCCCATTCAACTCTTAGTTAAGATCTTTAGGATGATCTATATCATTGCTTCTCCTGACTTCTGATTTAAAACAGCAGCAGCCATAGAATTTTGTGCAATGGTTTACTATTGAACATAAACAAAATCTGTTTTATTTGCCAATGAAGACAGAAATTAATGAAATCAGAAATGTCATCGTGAATCTTCAATAAGGTATCAGTTTTGCTCCAGTTTTCTCATTACCTTTAAATGTTTTCTTCACACATGATATTTTTCTGGTTACTACATACATATTCAGTATGTACAAGCTTTATGTTTTGAATTAGTGTATAACTTTCTAAATTTTAAATTCTTATGTGGAGTTGAAATTTTGCTCATAGGTACTGCATAGATATTAATCTCTGGATTAATCTCCTGTAATATAGTTTTCCTAGTTGCACAAATACTCAGAGGACTTAATAGGCATAAGTTTTGGTGAGGGAGGCATGTATATCTAGTGAAGGGTATGTTTCTTCCAAGATATGGTAACCAGTTATGAATTACACTTTATGTAATGCTTTATTCATAACAATTCAAACTGCATAAAAAGACTGGATTTTGTACTCAAAATATCTGTTTGAAAGCTGTACTAACTATTTCTGTCTTCACTAATCATGTGTATCATAAAAAAATATATCTTTACAATTCTACCCTGGTTTGCACTGGACCATCACATTTTGTCTTTTTCCTTTCTAATTACTAAAAGAACTGGATGAATTTTTTCTGAAAGTGTATCTTAGGCTGTTTAGCAAACAACATTTAAAATTTATTGCATTCAAACCCCATAGTTGCTTAGCAAAGCTCTGCAGTTGTTACTTACTGTCACCATGGCAAAGCAAAGGCCCCAGTTTGTAAGCTGCTTCAGAATTTGGTCTGTCAGTATCTGTGATCACAATTTCAGTTACTGGTAGATGCTCCTTGTAGGAGAGGAATCCAGTATCATTAGTCCTGAAAAGGTAAAATGAAAGCCACAGCTCTCCTAAATATTTCTGATAAACATTTTATTATCATTGACACATTGCTGGGGAAAAGGAAAAGATTAAATTCTGAAAAAAAAGGGTTGCATAACTCTATGGGTAATACAAGCAACTGTGAATACAAACGTATGCTTTGGTATTGATATTGTGATCATTTGACAGGACTGAAGCAATTTCATGGGAAGTGGGCAGTTTTATGGTTGTACTCATCTGCATAAGCATGAGAAAACTCTTTTTGACATAAATGGGTGCCTAACTGGGTGCCTAAGTTAATGTATTTGCCCATGTCAGTAATTTTATGTTACTGAGGACATACTGTATCTCTAATGGCCTGTGTCTTCATTATGGAATATTAAATGGTTTAGTTTAACTTTCAAATAAGTCTAACTTTTTCTTCCTTTTTCACTGTGACAAAAGTTAAAAGAAAATCAAACAGAAAAATACGAATTCATGCTAAGTGTACAGAAAAAACAGCATATGCTACAAATATGTAACTCACAGAAAAGGAAATATGCAACCTAGCACTCAGAGCACACACCCAGTACTTGTAATCTTAGACCAAATTCCTTGTTTAAAATCTTTGTTAATGTAGTGTCAGAACCGAATTTCTAAATTTCATAAGCACCAGTTTTGGCCCTAAAATTGCTTCTCCTGAACCCATGGAAATATTCAATCACTCAGGACCATTCTGTAAAGTTCAATCTGTCCATTCAATCCATTTATAGCTGAATCTTCCCTTTGATGGGCAAAGCAAATAGATCAGAGACAAGAGTACAAACTCAAAGATGGCAGGCAATCTGGAACTCACACTGCTCAGAGAATGGACACAAGACACACACCTCAACAAGCAAATCACATTTCTCTGGGAACGTGGTTGGGCTTAGCAGCCCCCTCTCTCAGTACACCGTGCACTGGGACTGAGACAATGGGAAAAGATTCCATCCTTGTGCTAAATGAAATTAGTGATTTTTTTCTCCCCTCCCCCCCCTTTACTAACATTGCCATTCTTCCCCTGTATACAACTTCTGTTAATCTGTCTTTGAGCACAGTGCACTTAAACGTACTTTTTTTTTTTTTTTAGGAAACTTTTTTTCTTAAGTGAGGAATGCAAAACATTTGGAAAAAAATGTTAATTTTTGATGAGTTGAAATATTGCAGATTTCTAATTTAGAACTGAAAAAAACCCCTCAAAACACTGGAAGTGTTTGCTTCAGTAAAACTATGCTGCAAATAAACAGAAACTGAATAGAAACCAGCTTACCTTTTCTGCAGAGAGGATTTGCATTTTTTTAGATCTTTAGGAACAAATTTTTTTTTTTAAACATATTTTTCAGAGACTTAAAGATTTTGATTGGTCAAACAAGGAGCTTTAGAGCTAAATGTATGTCCAATCTATGAAATAAGACAGATTTCACTAAGAAAATAGGATATCAAAACCATATTTTCAAAACCACACTGTGTGTAACTCCGGTTTTCTGTGCTCAGAAAACGTCTCAAACAAGCACAGGTTCTACCTACTTTTTCTGCCTTATGAACATTATTGAGTCAACTGATTCAAACCAGTAGTCTCTAGGGAACCAAATGTAACATTAAGTACAACTACCAAAATAAGTGTAAACATAGCCTCCATAACGTTGGAGTTACTGGGATAAATCTCCACTTAAAATGAAAATTAAAACGTCAAAAGTGGAAACATACAGGAATATAAAACCGGAGTAATTATATTTTCAGTATAATATGCTCACCAACTTATGCAATTTACTCAAAGTGGTTATAGTGAAGACAAGCATGTCATCCTTTATCTACTTTATTTACAAGTATTTTACCGTTATTAATTAACCTATGTATGTGAGCATGGATTAAATGAACGACAAACCTGAGCAAGAATGTATTACATATACTAGCAACTACTCAAAATCCTGTCTCAAAATGCGTTCATCTTTTAACACTTATTTTGCTGTTGGGAATCAAAAATTGTTTGTATTTTTGTACAGCACAATAATAGAGTATTTCCTGGTGTTCTGTTTATTTGTTTAATCTCTTTATTGGAATAAGCACATCAGATAACACTCTGTGAGTTTTATTGCAGATGCAAATTCCTTTCCTACAGAAACTTTTGAAGCTTGTGAAGAATTCTTGCTTGACTAACCCTTTGTTGTATTTTCATTTCTGTATCTGCTGAGATCCATGCTCTTGATGAGAGAATAAGCATTTTCCAACCAAATTCACTAGTTGTTCCTTTAAAGGAAGGGTGGATATCTAGTTTGAGGAGAAAATAATGTATTTCTTCATTTTGTACACATGAAGATGTTCCTAAGTACCTTCTTTACATCTTTCTATTTTCAAAAAACAGATGTTGATACATTTCTTAACATACGTATATTAACCCACTGACTGAATCAGATTTATATAAGTTAAATATGCTTTACAAGTTTAAAAGCTTAAAAGTTTCTTGAATAGAAAAGCTTTCATTTGAAAAGTCCCTGTTTGCTTTATAACGTCCTATACTGGAGCTATTGTTGAGAAAGTTGTATCTGACCATCTTAAGTGAAAAGTCAGGTTCAGATTTGACATTGTAACATTGTAACTCATCTCTTACATTACTTATTTGAGCAGGATCATAAATAACATCAGAGAATTTAAAGTATAAGTGGAAGATCTACATTTTAGAAATCCTTCCATCCCTTTAGAATAGGATTCCATATGAGTTCTTTGCTTCACTGATAGCAAGGGTGTCCAATTTCTGATTATCTAAGTTGTAGATGAAAAAAAAGGGGGTAAAAAGCCTAAACTTAAAAGTGTAGTTTAAAATTATGCTAAAAATTAACTTACTTCTTTCCAGAAACTTTTCTTTTAGCTTTAATTACTTTCAGTATTCTAAAACCAATAACTGAATTTGTACTAAAAACCAGAGCTAATATCTTAATATACAACATGCAATATACTACAAAACTGGAAAGTATCTCTACAAAATTAAACTCACCCCAGAATTCAGAGTGAAAGGATTAGCAATAATGCTTAATGTATATAGTTATACTTTTGTGAGAAAATGTGTTCTATATCAAAGCAGCAGGTGACATTATGGTAATTTAAATTTACAACAACTTTGGTGTTCTAAATGTGCTAAGGCCTGTATATTTTCTTTATTTACTTTCCAGGAAAAAATATTGTGAATAAGCAACAGTAAAAAGTTACCATTCATCTCTGTCTGCATCACAGTTGCAGTAATGCTGGGAATCAATGCAGCTCCCCTCTAATCCACAAGCACATTTTTGTACAGCAGGCAAGGAACCTCCCCAGTAAGTCTGTGTTTCATTGGTTCTTCCAATCCACCAGCTCAGTGGCATCCCATCTACAAGGCAGGTTAGAGAAAATCAGTGCCTAGTCTCGTCTCGTACTTCTCCCAGTTTTTCTTATCCAAACAAGTTTCCAAAAGGTTAAGGAGAGAAAAATCACCCCTCAAATCTAAAAACTTTAAACAACTGGAAAAAAAAATAACTGCTTTTAGTTGATAAGTAATTATTCATTTTAATACTTCATTATCAGGTATTAAATGATTGTCACAGGTTTTCGCTTGCATTAGTGGAAAAGGGAAGTCACAGTCCCCAGCTCAGCCAGCCATGATATTAGAATCATTTATCTTAAGCAGTCCATTTATATAATTCATTTTAAAATCGTCCATGAAAAAGGAGATGCTATTGCCCTAAAAATCAAGGTAGTTTATATTCCCAAGTAAAGATCAATTTCAGATCATGGAACTACCAGCAATAGAATGAGAAGAGTTACAGAAAAGCTATGCAGAAATGGTCTCATACCGCTCCCAAGAATACTACAGAGTACCACTACCCGTATCTGTGACGAACATTAAGCAGCTGAATAGTGGTGTTAATCAGAAATGCCCAAAGACAGCTGTTAGGTCACAGGCAACAGATTCAGAATTTATATATTCAGAGACAGCAGAAATCATATTAATGGTGATCCCATAAGCAAGTTGATGTATCTGGTGAGCAGAAGTGAGGTTTCCCAGGACTATTATATCTCTGTGTGGTGCATCCAGTCACCATTGTTTGTAGCAAAATGATAAAACTGGATGTTTCCTTAATGTTAAAGTACTGCAGATTAAGCTTAAAGATGCTGCCAAGCAAGCACAGCAACAGAAAATATATACAGAACAGATAATAGCTAAAAGATATGAAGCATAAAGATAAACCATCTCAAATGAGAAGGAAGAAGGGTGACAGATGCAATGCATGAAAGTCAAGGCACAAGAAGAAATCAAGTACTGTTAAATTATAGTTTCTTATAGATGCACTTCTTTTTGCTGTTGGAGCTCCAAGTTTTCAGCAGCAGGCCCCCATGAAGAAGCTGGAATTTATCCTAATCTCAATTTTACTTACAACTTCCACTGCTTATTAAACCTCACTGTTAGATAAGACCTCTGTTACACTGACAATCTTTCAGACTGTAAACATATCGACTGCATTCGTTACCATACAACTGTCAGCGCAGCAGGCCAAAAAACAGTGCGAGCAGTTTCTGGAAAAGTCTAACTTGTATAATGGCATCAATGTCCAATATCAGTATTTGTGTTTGCAAGCCATCACAGGAGGAAGAAAACCTAGAGACAGTTTATAAATAATTTATCAGACAAAACTTTAAAAAGCTTGCAACAACTAAGACTGTAAAAAGCAGAGTTCTTCTGCTGTTTCAACAGCATGCCTTAGCTTTATATTGTAGTCATGAAATAATATTCCCAGTCTTTCACTAGGGACATTGGGGTATGTTTAAAAGCTGCTCTCAGTTATTTGTTCATACGGCACGGTGAGGATAGAGTATTTACCAAAATGCTGCACGTTCATACTGATTAGCCCAGATTGTTATCCCTGCTTTGGCAGAAAATATTGCCTAAGCAAAATAAAGATATTAATTAAAATGGCTAGAGGTTTCTCCATAATGATCACATAAATGTATTAACAGGTGACTCCTTTAATGGCATCATTTGCAAATGCTATCCAGGCTGATTCAATATAATGTATTCTTAAAATACAGTCAGTTAAAAATTACTATGTAGACTGCATGTTCCAAAACCTATTTCATATGACCACCATCAAATTTTGTGCTTGTCAGGCATCGCTAGTGGAGCTTATAGATAGCAGAAGTGGGAGGGATTAAATTGCACAGGCAATTTAATAATGTTCCTATTTGCATTTCAAATTCTGATATTTCATTGTGCTCATAGTAAATGAAACAGAACAAACATATTTCAGTAAAATGTTATTTGAATTTTGTTTCAATGTCAGGTATGCTTCAGTTATTAGCTATGTGTGATTGCTTTTTGTTTGTTTTGCAATTCTGACTATAAAATCATTCTAAGAAACATACATGAAAATCATCAAGCAAATACATAAAGGTGATCTTAAACAGGAAAACTTGGTGAAGACTATCTTCAGATGCTGAATAGATGAATTAACAACTAAGTCAGCACATCCAAAATTTCAAATTAGATCACTTTACCTTCCTAAACTGCCCTCATATTTTTAAAACATTTGTATTCCAAACAGAATTCTTATTTAGCTCTCTGAGCTCTTTTAAATAGGCTGAGCATCCTATAAAATTTAACTATAATTCACACTTATAATTGCAACATTCTTACAAAAATTTCTAATGAAACTTCTAAAGTTTATGGCACTATGTTACACTGAGACACTAAAAGTTAGAATGCATACCTGCTGGAGCAAGCTGGAAGTGATATGTTTCAGATAAAAATAGGTGAGAAATATATTTCCAAAGGTCTCAAAAACATAGAACTAAATTTTTGGTAAGAGTTTTAAATCTGAAATTACTATTATTCAGAGAGAACAAATAATATGTTCTGTGTTCTCTCCATACTCTTCAATGGAAAAACATATCTTGAAGAAAAAAGACATGAAAACAAGAGAGGGTGCCTAATTCCTCTTTTTTCCCCCAGCTCTCTGCTATCCAGGAGATAAATGAAAGAAGTATTTCATGGGGTAGCATGACATTAAAATTTTCAAAAGATACTAGAATTCTCCCTTTCCATGATATCAGCAAGTTCTAAATTTATATTTGTAGAAAGAGAAAGATGATAAATTTGAGGATATTTGAAAAACTTACTCTCACAGCCTCAAAGACAAAAAGGCGTTGGGGTCCTGGTGGGCACAAGGTTGAACATGAGCCAGCAATGTGCCCTTGCTGCAAAGAAGGCTACTGTTATCCTGAGTTGCATTAGGAGATTGAGGTGCAGCCAGCTGGTTCAGAGAGGTGATTCTACCCCTCCATTTAGTACAAGTGAGGCCAAACCTGAAGAATTGTGTCTGGTTGGGGCTCTTCATTACAAAAAAAAGGTGGAAATACTGGAGAGTCCAACGAAGGGCCAGGGAGATGATTAAGCGACTGAATCATCTCTCCTATGAGGAAAGGCTGGGAGAGCAGGAATTGTTTAGCATGGAAAACAGAAGGTTCATGGTGATATTATCAATGTATATAAACACCTGAAGTGAGGGTGTAAAGATGACCGAGAGAGGCTCTTTCCCATGGCGCTCAGTGACAGGACAAGAGGCAGTAGGCACAAACTGATACATGTGACATTCTTCCTGAACATCAGGAAACACTTCACTGTGAATGTGACTAAGCACTGGCAGAGGTTGCCCAGGGAGGTTGTGGAGTCTCTGTCCTTGGAAACATTCAAAAGCTGTCTGGACACGGTCCTGGGCAACCGACTGTATGTGGCTCTACTTGAGCACAGGTGTTGGACCAGATGACCTCTAGCTGTCCCTTCCAACCTCGGCCACTCAGTGATTTGTGATTCTGTGATTCTAAGACTGTGCAAACTCATACTGTTTGCTGCTGATGTGGTTCAGATGCTGAAAACATCTATTTCAGTGGATACTCTAGGTGCACTGATCACTGAGTTCCCTGATAAAAGTACCAGCACATATATTTTGAAAAAAAACACTTTTTTCCTTCTCCTTGTAGGTGTGACCTAGCCCTTCAAAAGCACAGAAGAGGCTATATCTACAAATGGTCATCTGCTTCTTCTCCCAGGAGCTTTATCTGTTTTTACAGTTACTGTGACTGAATCGGTGAAAGAGGATCTGTTCTTATTAAGTCATCCACCAGGGTCACTACCTTTGACCTAAAAAAGGGCAGGTCTAAATCCTGGCATGTAGAAATCTGAATTTTATTTTAAGGAAGTGATTTAATTAAGAATGCTAGAAAGGATAAGGCAAAGTTAATACATCCTCTAAACAGTTACAAAAATGTGGCTCTGGCTGCTTTCAAACAGAGGGAAACATAAACTCTCATTCTCTTTAATAAGTGTTATTATTTCATCTCTATGTCACAAAACTCAGCGTTGCCTTTTTTAAGTGACCTCATTGCAGAAGCCAAGAGTGACCATCACTAGATACTAGCTTTCTTTACCTCAGAGCTCTCTCTTTCAGAACAGACTAAAGCTTACTCTTCAAGAGAATGGCAAGTTGTGTTTGGTAGTCTGTGGTAGTGTTTAAATAAACACTAAAACAATCTGTAGAACCCACAAATAACTTTCCCATGCCTATTTACTCCTAGCATTCAAAACTCTAAATTTTAAATGGCTTAGCGCAATTGACTGATTACAGTCTTTTAGCTTTCTAGAAAAACTTGCATTTCTGTGCAATCTCACTGGATCACAAAAAAAAAAAAAAAAAAAAAAAAACCCCGGCCGCCCTGGGTCTTTCCCACTCTTCTTCTCTGACCTAAATTTTTTCATGGTTTCCAGCTTGATCATGCTGCTGAAACTGGTGATTTGAGAAGGTGGGGTTTACTGGTTTGGGTTTTTTGGTTTTGTTTTGTTTTTACTTAGTCTATGTGACAGTTAGTAGCCAAAAGATATGAAATACCTAGAGAGCACAACCTTGAAACCCTCTGCTTGGTGTAAAGCAGGCTTTTGAACATCTAAACATAACTTTAATTTGGAGTCCACAGGTAAAAGGGAGGCTCAGTGGGACAACTTAAGCAGTAGGTTCATCTTTTATGCTGCATAGACGTTTTCGAGCAGACAGTCTGCCAAGAGTGAATTCTAGTCTAACACGTCCAGTGATATCCATGACATAATTAAGGAGAAAGCATATTTAAGGAAAGAGTTTACAGACAGAAACAGAGACTGTTGCACTCAGAGGTCTGCTCTCTGCTTAATAGGAAAGAATGCCAAGAAATCAGTTTGAGCAGTTTCAGAGTTTCTGGTGGACAAGTCAAACAATTTCACTCAGTTTTTCAAAAGACAATAAACAAAGAGATTTTTACTTCCACATTATTTGGAGTACTTAGAATGGATTTTCACAGTAAAGTCAGTTAAACAGCAGCTCTGTGTCAGTGAGAGTTAAGATTTAAGTAGACTATATAACTTCATTTTTCTTTAAGTACGTCACAGGATCTTCATTCATTTTTCTCTTAAAACAATTATACTTTTGTCAATAATCCACATATTAACTATTGCTTTTTTTTAATGAATGCTTATATTGGACAGTGAAAATTTGATGTTATCAATGCTTTTTGTCAAGCACTCACAATATGCACATTAAGTGTTCAAAAACATTCAGGGATAAACTTCTGCTGATATCTATGCACTAATTTGTGTTCTTTTAAGAAGCTACTTCCTCAGTAATTCCTTCATTAAAATTTAAAAATTCCTGGAAGGCAGAACAACAGGAGTTCTGTTAATAATAATCTCTGTTAATTTGAAAGACTTATGAGAGAAGTTAACTTTGAGAGCACTTAATTCTGTGAACAAAGATCATTATAAGGTGACATTTGTATTTTTCTGGTTCAAGTATCTCTTGGCAACTTACAGGAATTTGAGTACTAGATATTTGAACTAGTTCAAACACCATAGTAGCAAAATGCCATAACGTTGATAGAAATAAATACCTGTAGTAGCCAGTAAAATAAAATGCATTATGGAACATAAAAACATTTGTCTGCTTTACTTACCTGGCTTATCTAAAAGCCTGGACTTTTTGCAGTGGTAAGCAAGCTCCTGTTCACAGTGCTCTGCATGGTTAATTGTAGCCTGAAGCTGGTCTAGGCTGGCAGAGTACTTGAAAAACACAGTGTGTGGGTTCTCTCGATTAGCACTTTTGACTCTGGTTAGGTTGGTGTTGTTATGCTGTATAATTGTCCACGTTGTATCTTTCAAAACACATGTGAAAAGTAATAAAGAATGAGAAGTAGTTGCATAAGTTGGTAATGGAAAAGGAATCTATGATGAAATTAACTAAACTTTAAGGTGACTTCTTTGATCACAAAAAGTGGTTTTGGGCATACGAAAGGGAGACATAAATCACTGAGCAAAAATGAAAACAATTAATCATTGTTTCTCTTTATAAGTAGATTATTGTACTGTGACTGTAACAGGTATTCAGCTTGTTATGATTATCGAATAAGGAAACAGTAATTGACAACAGCCAAATAATTGTCTCTGAAATAAGATATAGTTTACTTGGTAAGTTGCAATGAAAAAATAGAAGGAAATAATACTTACTATTGTTACTTTTCCCAGGCTTAAATTATTTATAAAATAACACTAAGTTCTATCCTAGATTCTACCTACATTATATACATCACTATAATTTGAATTAATTTATTCTGTGTGAGAAAAGGGCCTACAATCTTTTTCTGTTATACAAAGAAGCAAAAGTAGCTTGCAAATACTGTATTTACTACAAAACTCAGACTACATGAAGGTGAGTTATTCTAGCCATTTAAAATCAAATAGTAGTCATTATTTGAAGTACTATTCAAAGCCTATGTTTAGTCAAGGTCTAAGAATCATAGCTTCCTAAGTTCAATAGAAAGTTGCTTCCAAACACCTGATGTAATATTAATTTATGGCAACAACCATGGTATGCCCATTTGACTTGGTACTGTAACATGATGAAGTACTAGTTCAGAACTGAGAGCTGCTTTTCTGTGAAAAACACATACTGCTCTTAAGTTGACTTTTAGCTCGGTTGCTGCTGGGTAAGGTAGCTACGTACTTCATTGCATTGTGTAGACAGGCCTTATGATTCATGTAAACTGGAGCATGCAAAATATTGCCAAAATATTTATTCCAGAAGCAATTGAACTGTGTCTGCAAGATTTGTTTCCATGAATCACTAGTAAATATTCAGTAATCCAAACATTATTTCTAGAAAAATATGTTCCAAAGTAATGCTCTTGTAATAAAAGAGCAGAAAAGACTTGCGTATAAATATACATTTAATTCAAATAATTGAATAATAACCAATATATTGTACATTTATAAAAGGTATATGCTCAGATGTGCAGTCTGTTGTGAAACAGACTTTCTCCAACTTGGAGCCATGTTGCTTATACTAAGCAACAAAGCAGTCTGCTTTCCAGTTATATTCACAAATATTCTTTCATTAAAAGTCTTCTTTTAATTTCTTACAGCAATTATTGAGAGCATTTTTAACTGTAAGAACTTACTACAGTGAAAAGCCACACAGATCAAGAACTAAAACTGATGTTACAATACTTACATGAAGGCATTACTTCAAAAGCTACTAGAGGCCATAGGCTAAGTATTACGTATTTACTTTGAGACTAGAAAAATAATTTTCCTGTATGCTGGCACAGGAAGGATGAAACTGGCTGGCACCATAGAACAGGATTGTATTGGTCACTCTGTCCTATAGTTTGCAGGCAAGGAAATGTAACATCAGACGCTCTGCTTGGGAGTACAGAGATTAGTCCCGCAATGTTCTTCAAAATATAAATTGCCCTAAATATTGCTGGCTGATAAAGGCTCATATGATTCTGCTGTTTTGTACTTTTGCCAAGCCCCCTCACCTATGAATACGGAAGAACTGAGCTTATTCTGTTTCAACTTTGACTTGCAAAGCCTGTAACAAAACCTGTTAAAAAGTTAAAAAAACCAAAGCCTATAACAAAGTCTGACCTCATGACTAAAATCCACCTCAAGGTAGGGGTGAGCAGGCTCCCAGGTAAAGCCAGTCTGGGTCAGTCAAGTCAAGTTTAGATCTATGTTCACTGTATTCTTGTATCTTAATGGCCATTTAAATTTCAGTGGATATGAGAAATATTATGGTTTCTACCTTGTAGTATTGATGATAATATTTCTGACATTCTAATAGTAATATTTCTAACTATTTAACAGAGTTGTATTATATTTCATTAGCTTCCTACAGGCTGACATTATAAGGTATTTACAGAGAGGAAGGAACTCATGGTCACTTAAAGGAGAAGTATTCATCAGAAAACCTAAAGGAAATATCAAGGTGAGATGCCTATTCAAAAATATTATATTAAAAAGAGTCTATTATACAACTTTTTTATCATTGCTTACCAGGTTTTGGTCAAATTATAAAATTTTATTAAGTACATGCTCATGGTGTCAAAAAGCAGATGTCTGGAAATATAGCAAACTTAGATTCCTTTTTGTACGTGTACATACATACAGAGACAAATATATCTAAAAGCTATGCTGAACATAAAAATTAAGACAAATAGGTCACCTGTCAGACTCACTGTCACACTCCCAAATTTACAAAGAAAAATAAAAGCAGGTCACTGAAAAGTTTGGTCATCTTAACTGGCAGTGCGGACTGTAGGCTTTTCATTCTGAAACTGACCTCCAAGAACAGAACCAGAGAAAGGCACCTCCTTCCCAGCTGCCTGAGAAAAGAGCACCATGAATGTCAAAGGCAAGGCAGTGCTGTAAGAAATGTGGGCATCTGCCTTCACTGCCTCTGGTGGAAAAAGGGAATACCAGTCATCAGGAAACTGGGAACAAAACAAATATAGAAGACTCATCATGTCAGGCTGCACCTTGAGATGAAGAACTGATCAATGAGGTTTGCTTAATGTGGTGAATAAGGAGTGACTGAGGAAAACAGTAACAGCTGTTCATGGACACACAAGGATAAATCAGACACTACACTGTACTTTGGAGGGTTATACCCACTTAAAAAAAATTGTCATCTTTCTGCCATGATTCTTTGATCTCTTTTAGTCTCATAGGACACTAGGATATTTCTTTTCAAGGGCCTGTGCCGATCTGAAGTGTGCCCACTGTGAGCTAGCACAGTTCACTGTAGAAGTCAAAGTCAGGAGCTGACGTGGTGAGACCAGTTAAATTGCACAGACTGATTGAAATGATGAGAATTCTATTATTTCAACACATATAATAAGTATTCTTTAGATCACTGTGAAAATCAGCCAATACCACTGGCAGACAGAGTCCTGTCAGTTTCTCAAGAAACAGATGAGACCACAAATTGTTTACAAATAAATATCAAAAGCTTATGATAAGGTTTCTAAGTCAGGTTCTCAACACTTAGGACATACCTAGGCCAAATTCAACTATAGCTTATTCATGCAGTCTTCTTAACAGTTATAACTGTGTAAAAATATATTTTTGTCACATAAAACAATAAAGTGTTTCCATTATTTTGTCTAGAAAGCAATTCAAATACATAGAGCCTAAGTAAAAAGAAAAGGAACAAATAATAATTGCAAAAAGCCATTAAATGTAAGTTTCACTGAAAGGGCATATACCAATAAGCATACCTAGACAACATCAAATGGTTTCTAAAAAGCAGACTAACAACAAACTGATATCTAAAACTTCTAGTGATATAAATGGTCAGATTCAAAGAACTGGGTGCAGAAGAGGAAGCAGGATGCCTGAAAGTGAGGTTGTGAGAGTCCCACTGGTTTCATTTGCATTCTCCAAGAGACCTACTTGCAGTTTGAAAAATGAAGCTTAATGTCTATATTACTCATAACAAAGACCAGTTCTGAATTACAATTTTTCAGAAGGCTACCAGGAAAAAATCAGTAATTTTCTCATAAAACATAACTTATTTCTCATTTCCTTAAATGTCCTCAAGAGGCTATAACTTCAATGAAAACAAAGCTGCTCCCCAAAAATGAACTAGTATGACATTGTCTCCATTTGGAACACGTCCCCTTTATGCAAATCGCACCAGGAATGCAGTGTTAGCTTCACAGCCTGAATCCTGTTATTATTCTAATTTCTCTGCCTAATTCTTTGTCCAGTATTCTGAGCTAAGAAGTCACCTTCATTTTGTTGTGCATGTATACATTAAACTTGCGAGCTACAGAGGCTTCTTACTTGATAACTCAAGTTTCAATATAATGAGTATATATACAGACCCAGCTGTGAGTTAAGTACGTTTATCACCTCACCTGTCATATTACAGTATACAAGAAACGGTCCCAAGGGGCCACTTCCATCTGAATCAATATTGTAAAAGCCTGAAGTGTTCCCTCTGTGCTTATAGGCTTCACATGATTGCTCATAGATGGCTGTAAAAGAACACATTCAATCACAAGTGTAATGGCATAATTTTACATTTTATTCAGGGAATTTAAAAAAAAGTGCATGGAGTCTGTCAATGGGGAAAAGAAGTTGTGTGTGTTCACTGCTAAAGAATGTAGAAGAAATTGCATAATCAAAACTATACTTTCATTTGAATTTGTAAAGTGCTTTCAGTTGTATTTATTGGGGAGATCAAAAGGGTCATTTTCAAACATTTTCTTCTGTATTTCAAGTAGAAACTTCAGGGAGAAAACCATGAAATGTGGATGAGTAAATGCTTGTAAAAACTGCCAAGTAATGTGAATGCCAAGGGTATTATTTAGACCCTGGTAATCAGATTTTGAGGAAACAACCACTAGCTACCTCAACCAAATCAGATTTTTGTTGTCGTTGTTGCAAGGTAGGCATTGTTTCTAGGTGTTCTGATTGTCTCCTGGCATTTTTTTGGCTTTCACCGTTCTTATTTTCTTCCCCTTTTAAATAGAAGAGCAAATAACTTGTCAGAGACTGCAGTAAAAGAACTAACTAATCAAAGACAAAATGACAGTTCCTCGGTCCCATATCATGTATGCTTTGTATAAGTCAAGGACTAAAGAAAAGTCTGTGATGACTTCTTTATGATCAAAAACCTGAGGAACAGGACTTGTGAGTCTATCTCTGTACTTAAACAAACAGGAACCACTGATGATAATGCCACAGCTAGACCACATTAGCCTAACTTCTGCTTTAACTATTATATTGCTCTTGAGCAGTCATACTGTTCTGGTCTTTCTTTTCAAATTTAGACTGTGTGCTCTATCAGTTATTATTAAAACTTGAAAACACTCTGCTAAAAAGAAAGAGCCGTTAGATTCAGAAAAAAAATAGTTATGAGTGCTATACAAATAAAAACATAACTCCATAATAATTATTAACAGTCTAGAAGATTCTGATCATAAAAATTCAGTTTATTTAATTTTTTTAAAAAAAGCTATAAAGGACTAGTACAATAATCCAAAAAAGGTGCTGTTTTTTTAAAAAAGCTAGTTTTTGGAAGAGTGTGATCTCTGGATGTTTTGCCTATTGGTTATTGATATTTTATGGCAACACCTATCAAAAAGATAAACAATTCATTCAGATTCCTTGCCTTATGAAATATTCAGAATGCACAATTTATGTAATTTTGAAATGGAATTTTATGGTTCCTTTCAGTAAATAGTCTTAGTTAAACTCAAAAAAGACAAAAGAAATTCAATTACCCATTAATTATTTTATGAATGTGGTAGTCTGTGTATTAATATTTCAAGTTTGGTAACTTATTTCTAGGGTCATAACAAAAAGAATGCTTTGAGAATTCAAGGGGCATTTTTTTCTTTTGAAAAATTACACAGGTGTGATAACATGGACAAAAATTATCCTAGGTTCTTGATTTGAAATTATTATTAAAATCACTAAAATCAAGTACTATGACTCTTTCATTTTATATCCATAGATCAAGCATTTTATTAATCATAAAAAAAATCCCAGAAGGCTTTTATATGTATTTTTGACAATGAATAACAATTCAGTAACTCTTATCATATTATTACATTTCTCACGGAGTCCTACTCATTAGGAAACCATGGCCTTCATCTGTCCTCACAGATATAATCAGTTGATTGAACAAAAGATTTTTCAAATTATAATGAATCAAATCACCTTCATTTTCACTTTGGGCTTGTCATAGTTTTATATTTTACACTGCAATATTCAAAAACATCTCTACTATTAGCATCCTTTTTCTGTTACAGAAATTTTCTTAAAATTGTTATTTATTTCACTGTGTTCTTTACAATTAAGTCATTACAGGAAAAGTCATGACTGTTGTCCACTCTGTACAAGCCAGATTTAATAGACAATCTTCTAAAATCGGTGACTTCTCAAAAAATCCCATGTGTGTAGACATACGTTCTTTTCATAAACTCTGCCAACAAGGACTGTATAGATTTTATAAGGACAATTTACAAGGACAATTTATTTCTCTGATCATTAAGACAATCTTTGGAATTTTTTTTAAATTATCTGTAAAGTTTCATAAGGATTTCTAGTTATTAGAAGCATATAGTGAAGGCCAGAGTAATGATTTATTCTGCTTCCCAGACCATTCTTAAAGCAGTACAAATGTAGAGCATATCCTGTGAAATTAGTTGTTACTTTCAATTATTTATTTTATTTTAAATTTCTCCTAATCTAATCCATGATTCAGCAAACTGCATAAACACGTGCTTAGGGCTTAGCATGTGGTTACCTTTGCACATCAATGTAGTCCCATTATCTCAGAAAAAAATTATATTGATTGTTGTGATGAATAAAGATGAATTAAACACATTTCTAAATGATTTGCTGATTCAGAAAGTGGAATGATATGGATGGAAGAAGATATTACTGACCATCTCATGTAAGTTATGAAAAATATGAAACAGATAAACATTAGAACTTTCAATGGGTTTTTGCTGCTACATATATTGAATTCTCAAGGCCTTTCCTTGAACCAACTTACGAATATTTACATGGCTGAAAAATCTTCTGATATGAATGATCAATATAAATTTATATTTTTGTAGTAAAAAAATTCAATCAGAAATAAAAGCATAATCAGAAAACATCTTAGACTTACGATAGTGGCAAGTAGCTCCCTTGTAACCAGTATTGTCACAGTCGCAGTAGAAGCTGTTCCAGGACTGTGAGCATTCACCACCATGTTCACAGTAATTAGGCAAACACCTAAAATGAAAAACAAAGAGCATTTTCACTCTTTTTTCTGTTCATTTACATGTCACTTGTACTTATCAAGGGATGGAAAACCATGGAAAAGAAGTACCATAACATGAAGGATGTCTTCAATGCCATTGGGGAAGATGTCAATGTAATTATTAGAAAATTAATAGAATTTCCTTTCATCTTCCCCACTATTCCTATTGCCTATTATAGATATATTAATTATGCAATAAGCCTGTGAGAACAGAAATAAAGTCTAAGATGCATAATTGTTACTTATTACCATCCAACTATCTGCACTTCAATACAGATTGATAAACCAATGAAAGATTCACATGCTGATAATTCACTGGCAAGTTTTGCAACCGGTAAGATTTATTCAACAAGATGTGTCACAACAAAGCAGCATCACAACAGATTTCCTTCTATTGTTCTAAAAATAATAGAAAATTTTTTAAAAATCACATAACAAATAAAACTGACCATAGTACCTGAGAACTATTTCTTATTCTAAAATTATGGTTACTTCTTATTCTAGAAAAAGTAAAATATTCAGTGTGTTGGTTCCATCACAAGAGGTAACTACCAGTATACCAGTTTTCATTTCGGTGATATGAGCAGAAACCTGAAGAATTTTGATGGCTTTCTTCTTTACAAAGGTTGACTGCAAAGAAAATTTGTGTGTAACTGCTTAATGGTTAAGACTGCAGCACTATTTCTAAGTATAAAATATTGCATGATATGAAAAAAAGAAAATTTATCTTTTTGATAAACACAACTGAAAATATATTGAAATAGAGTGGCATACTTTGATCAATTATTTACTAGCTTGTCACCTTAGAAATTAGTCAACAGTTTAATTGCAGTGAGGGTATGTGTATATGCATGCGCATGTGATACAGCTCAGAAAGTATAAAAAGGCTTTATTGTTGACATTAACCACAGAAAAAAGAAAACAGGTCCACTAATATTCACAGAATCTTAAAATACCTTTTCATTCATTTAAGAAATCTTAGGAGAGTATTAAATTAGGATTGTGGAAAGCCCAGCAGTTCACACATCTGCCCTATGAATGACTTAGAGCCTTTGTATATTCACTTCTCCTGACTCTCAAAGAATTTTATTTTCCTTTCATGTTTATAAACAAGGATAAGTAGAGGTTTTCAGAGAAGGGAAGGAAAAAGAAAAAAGTAGCAGGTAAAGTGCAGGTAAAGTAAGTAAAGTGATACAGGTCACCTGTTTTCAAGGAAACAAGTGACATTTTTGCCGGTGAAAGAGCTCACAGAATATATTTCTAAGACAAGTCTGTAGATGATATACATCTCAGTGAGGTCTGGTCTGGAACATAAAAATGAACTTCAGGCACCGGGCTTCCAATTACTTTGATATTGTATTCTTTTTTGAAGGAATTGTATAAATGTTCAAAGTAATAATTCTTAGGATAAATGCTTTCTATGGGTATGACTAGTCATCAGTTATTATGAATATACACCTCCTCTAACATAACTGCCATTCAGGACTTTCAGTGCATCTTCTGACAGCTGCTCTGCTTACATGTATTTCAGTCATAGTTTTTCTTGTCATATTCCTTTTTGATAAAGACATCACTATCCCAAAACTGCAAATGATTTGCATGGTTTTTACTTCTATTGACTCCCTGTCCATATTAATTTATCTTGCTAATAATGTTCACAAGATGAAAAGCTTAGATTAAATTGATGATGCTTGAATCAACTTTTTACTAGAAGTGAAAACAATTTATAGTATAATTTAAATCTTTTAACATTAAATTTTACATCTTCCCCGTGTTTTAGAATGTATAATAGAAAGTAGACACTAGCTACATCAAAGTTAAGCTATAATTACAGTATATGCTGCAACCCTACCCAAAGCAAGATTTAGAACAGTGTTTTCTCTGAGGAAACTAATCTTCTAACAAAAATATTTCTAATATTAGAAAAAAATATTTCTAATACTTAATCTGTAAAAGGTAATTTTTTGATTCATCACCATGTCTGCTGAAACTAGGAAAAAACTAGCAGATTAAGCATTTACAACATATTACTTGATAATATGCTTTTAAGTGTATGACATTCGAAAATGATATATGATTTAAAACCAAGGCAGCAGGCTAATAATAATCATAAACTAACACTCAAAGGACAACACTGATCCAGAACATGAATATAGTTTTCATAAAGAAGGAAAAAATAAGAATTTCATATGTCAATTTTCTACTAAATACATTTTTTGTGCACAACCTGCTTATCATGGTTCCAAACTATGGCTAAAAGACATTTTGAAAAGAATAACTAATTGCTGCAATTTTCATTATTTTTCTTTCTTCAGTCTTCAATTTAAAAAAAAAAACAAACAAAAACAACAGAACAATATTTGAAAACTATCCCAGTGCCAGTGTCTTTTTTTTTTTTTTTTACAAGTAAAACCATTTACACTTTTTTTTGTACAACACACTGCTGCCAGAACACCAAAGGCAATAACTCTTGGTAGGCAATTGTATGTTTCTGTGTATGGCTTGATGTAATTCTGACAGATTCATCTGGTACTCTCTCCTCAAAGACTAAATGTGCTAACTTTGTAAGGCATTTAGAATGACACTAGTCATTTAAAGTTATTTTGTCAATGGTTTATGTATAATTAGTAGTTATTAAACCAATATACACCGATAAAGGAGCTGAGAGAAAAGATGTTAAGGAGAAATACATTAAAAGAATTATTTGCATGCCCAAGAGGTATATGAGCAATGGAAAAATATAAAGATATGCAATGAAAAGGCTAAATGAAGGAGCATGGGAAGAGCAATAACTGGAAAAAGGCATAATAATTTAAGCATAGGAGGAGGAAATAGAAATTTTATGGAACTGAGAAAATAGAAAATAGGAAAATGGAATGCTTCTGTTTAAAAACAAGAATAGGTTAACAAATTATATCCCAACGAATAAATGAATGATTAACCAACCATCTGTCAATGAGGACTGTAAATCTGATAAAGTGAAGAATACTCTATATATGTTAAATGTGTATATATATATATATAAACAAGATAAAGAATAGACTCAAAATAATTATTTCCAGTTTATTTACTATTGCATATAAATTAAGATCACTATGCAAACAGTAATTTTTATTTGAGTTTATGTACTTTAAATATGCAAAACTATTACATTTAGTGGTCCATTGTTTCTACTACAAAAACCATTAGTAACTCCAGAATTTGGGTCATGCTTCACTGTTTGGAATTGGAGATGCAAAGACTTCCATAAAGACTCCAAGACAAAGAAGTGGTTTGTTTGCCCTCAGCTGTAGCAGGGACATCTACCATTGGGAGCACAGTGGCAAAAATGCTGATTACTTTAGCTTAGAGCAACCAAAGACATGTAGAAATCATTGCAGGAAGAAAATATTTTCTCTCAAACGATACGGTGCACAAGATGACACAAGCTGAGTATTAGAAATTGTTTAATACATAAGCAATTTTAATGTTGGCAAAGAAGAAGGTGTCTTATCAATTGGAATTTATGGTGAGATATAGAATCAGTCTGATAAAGAGAAACATCAAGTTTGTTCCAGATGATGAGCTGCAGATATCAAATGGAATGAAACTGTGTGAGGAAACTGGAAAGAAACAGTCCCTGGAGCAAGCTAGCACAAGACCAGGAGGGTTTTTTAAAAACAATCTATTTTGAAATAAAAGATAATGAGTGTAATGAAATTGATGAAAATGGGTGGATTAGATTTCTATTTTGATAATTTAGGAAGACATATGATAAGCATGTTGAAAGCTGAAAACTAAACCTGGTAGAGTTAATGCAAGAAAGGTGCAATTGTCAAGACATAAGAAGACATGACTTAACATTAGCAAATTTTAGAGAAAACAAAACCAACCAAACAAAAACCTTCCATAAAGACTTTTTTTTTCTTTGGTATCATTGATCATGGGAAACCATACATAATTTTGATGAACTATGAGAGCAACATGAACTCAAAAAGAAAGAGTTAATACAGTGTCAGAAAGTAATAAAAACACTTTGAAAAAGACTGTGGCTGGGAAGTTTAAGTGGCTTGCTTACACAAGTCCATACTGAAAAAAAAAACCCACACAGATGGCAGTGGTATTGACATAAAATAAGGATGATAACTCTTCATATGCTATAAAAATTCAGCAAGATAAAAATATGAGGAAAGGCTATATATAAATCTAACCCAGTGCTTAAAGGCAACAAAAAAGTGATCAAAATGGTAGGGTGCAGTTCTGAATAAACTGAAATTGCACTGAAAAAGAGACAAATATTATGATATTTGGAATACCGTAAATAATGCTGGATTTCTATATACTGAGATTCACAGAGTGACTTTGTACATATTTATACACACAAACTTCTTTTTAAAAAACCACGTGTATACACTTACATATCATGGCTGTTCAAAAGCTGAAAGGAACTGGAATTTCTACATGTAAAAATGTATGATCTTCCTTCAAGAATTTAGGTGAAACACCTCTGTGTTCATGAAGGAAGAGACGGTTCCTAAACCACAGCTCTGAGATGAGCATTTTGAGAGGTCCCCAGTTACAATGCACACTGAAAAATCCATGGTAAATCAGAGACAGTAATGACATCAATTATATTATGAGCCAATTTGGTGATGTTTTCCACTCATAATCTTGCTTAGATCTGCATTGTTATGTTTGACTAAAGAATATGGAGATCTTCACATTACATTCTTTTGACCTGATTCTGTTCCTGATTCTGTCTCTTTACTACAAGCAAAAAGGGCAAGCAGTGTAATGGAAGTGGAGTAAGTTCAATTCCAGTGTTGAAAAAAACAACAGTGATGCAGTGCTTTAGAAGCTGGAAGGAAGTGTCATGAGGTCTATCAGAGGGGAGAGGAAGGAGGTGGTGAAAGAAGTTTGAAAAGTGAGAAAATGAGTTGAAAGGAGTAGGGTGCAAGAAACCTAAAAAGAAAGGTAAATGTATGTTGCAACCAAAATACAAATCCTGAACAAGTTATATGGCAAAGTTTTGACTGAGGCTAAACTCTGTTTTGTCATGTGTCTATCACACTTACTGCCTACTGCCAAGTCAGAATTAACTCAGTAAAGGATAAATTAGCACAAAGAGTGATACATATGCAACTGTATATGTTCTTAACACATGATAGATGTAGAAAGATTCGTGAGAATACACATTACAACCTAATTGAAGGGATCACATCATAGGCAGATTTTTTAGCCTCCTTTCAGAGGTTTCTCTCTGTAAACTTTTATCAAAAAAATTAGGTAAAGAACTAGTATTATTTTTGTCTTTGATCTACAAGATGTTGTGACTTTCTTCAAAATAATAACCTGGATGGATGTATACTCTGTTGTTTCTATGAATGGAAAGAAGGTCACAGAAATATGTCTGTGTGACTGAGCCTGAAATTGGCTATGATCTTGAAGCAGACCTCTGCCTACACTGCTTTCCTCAAAGAGAGCAATTTTTGGAAGTCTTATAATTCAAAGGCCATACTTTTTTACATCAAAAGGCATACTTTTTTAGACCAAAAGGCAACTTTTGAGGACTGGAAATTTAGGGGGTGGGGGAGAAGTGTTTACAAGCACATCTTTCCCCTGCCTATTGTGTCATTTCAGTACAGCCTTTCAGCTTGGACCAAGGCAACCATTTCTGGATTAAAGCACACTTTGCACAGATGCCTGTAACTTAATTCTCCTGAGCCTACAGCAGAAAACTTCTTCTTCCATTACCCGTTTGTGTGCCTGCTCCCTCTTTTCTCAGCAGCCTGTGCCATTCTGCAACACCCCTTTTCGCTCATCTTCTGACATCTCTGCACTGAACTCCAGCAATGTCTCTCTGGCAAGCATTTTGATCTGTTTCAGGGAAGGTATACATTCTTTCCTCCCTGCAGAGGGAGCCACTTCGACCAGTGACTCTCTTTTAGATAGATGCTAATACCACATACTGTAAGTTACGAGAATAGTTCTGACCATAGCCTAAAAAAGATTGCTCACTCACTGTGATGAATACCATCTACTGTGTTTCTGGATGGGTAGAATATAGGAAGCAGCAATAACTTGTAAAGAACATAGCATTTCAAAGGGTGAATGGGACTACATGTCACAGGAGGTGGTTTGTATTTACAGCTTTATCTGAACAGAAAGTAAGATATCTAAAATTTGTCGGAACCATTAAATAATTTTAACCCCAGTTACTCTAATTTTATTTGCAGTGCATTGAAATCTAATTGCTGTGTTATGTATGCTGCATTTATTCTAGACTTTTGAATTCTTACAAAAGAAGCAGCATGCCATTTTGTAAGTGTTCTATTCTTTGTCATCAAGTCAGTATTGAAAACAAAACATTCAAATAAATAAATAAATGAGTAAATATTATTTTATTTACTGTCTATTATGCCACATAAATCTATCTGAAGGTCACTGAAATTGCCGAAACCATTTTGCTGAACTGAGATCATATCCACTGCTTTGGTACCAATGGAAATGAGTCGCATGCATCCTTGAAAGCCGCCAAATGAAGTATTACATTCAGAAATGTTTCCACTGTTAGGGCAGCCTGAAAGAAGCATAAAACCTGGAGTTGAAAAAAATGTTTAGTTGAAAAATTTATATATTCCAAAAGTAGACTGAACTTTGATAATATCCAGGCATTGTAAACTTCGTGAGTGGAAGACTTTAGCAAGAAGCTCTTCTGATTAGGCATGGTGGTGCAATTGTAAAGAAATACTTCTGTGCAGTCTTATTGTTTTTAAAGCATATGCAAAAGCGTCACTAAAAATTTGGGTAAAGAATAACCCAAGCAGCAGTTCCAAAGCAATGAATGGAATCAAGATGTGAACAGATTGACTGACCTTAGTCACAAAATGTTAGGTTACAATACAAGGTGCACATGATTTGGACAAGTTTTAAGTCACAACTGAAGTCAACAAGACAAAAATTAGTTGCTAAGTACAGTGATTTTAATTTATTAAGCTGTCTAGAAGATTCCAGAAAGTACCAAAGACAATTTCTTGATGCAGGTCATCAATGACTCAACTAGGAGAGATGCTCTGTTGGACCTGCTACTCGTAGACAAGGAAGAAATGGTTGAAAATATGAAGGTCAAGGACAGTCTTGGTTACAGCAAACATGAGGCTGTGGAGTTTAAAATCCACAGAGAAGAGAGCAAGAAAAAAAGCAGAATTACAACCCTGGACTTCAGAAGTGCCAATGAGGCCTGTTCAGGACCTGTTTGGAAGATTCCATTGGAAATTGCCTTGGAGAGCAAAAGGGCTGGATATTTTTCAATAAAAAACTCTTTGGAGCATAAGCAAAGTCCACAATGATATCAAAATAGTTAAGTAAGTGTGGCAGAAGGCCTGCAAACATAAACATGGAGCTTCTGAGTGAGTGCAAACTCAAAAAGAAAGTACACAAAAAGTGGAAGCAGGGACATGCGATTTGGAGGGGTATTCAAAGACATTACCTGCATGTCTAAGAAAACAGCTAGGAAATCCAGACCTCAGGTGGAGTTAAAACTATCAAGGGAGGTGAAGTGCAATGAAAAGGTTTCTATAGGTACAACAGTGGCAAAAGGAAGGCTAAGGACTTTATGAGTGCACTACTCCATGGGACAGGGGACTTCGTGACAAGGGTCTTGGGAAAAACTGATTTGTGCAAGGCCTTTTTTCTTCAGACTTCACCGGTAAAACTAATCCTTTAGGCTTCCCATCTCTTATCAGAGTATGAAGAAGGGAAGTAGTATCCACAATAAAGGAAGAAAGGGTCCAAGGGTCACCTGAGGGTCTTGCAGGACCTGGCCAATGTCATTGCAACAACTGCCATCGTCATTATGAAGCCATTATCATTTTAATCCTCAAAAGGTCTTAGCAATTCGGTGAGCTTCTTGATGACTGGAAAAGGCAGACGTTACACCCGTCTTCAAGAAAGGCAAGAAGGAGGACACAGAAAACTAGAGGCCAGTCAGCCTTAACACAGTCCCTGGCAAGTTTATGGAGCAAATCCTCTTAGAAGCCATTTCTAAACATGTAAAGGACAAGAAGGTAACTGGATAACTAGCTTCAAGGCTAAATCATGCCTGACCGAGATCTTTGTTTTCTTTGCTGAAATGATGGGCACTGTGGACAAAGGAAGAACAGTAAGCATTGCATACCTTGACTTTAACAAAGCCCTTAGGCGTTTTCTATGGTCTCCCTATCAGCAGATTGATGAGATATGGGTGGGATAAGCAGATAATTGATGATGTAAAGTCCAACTGATGGTCAGTGAGCAGAGGGTCCTTCAGAGATCACTACTGAGAACTATGCTGTTTAATGTCTTCGTTAATGACCTGGGTGATGGGACAGAGTGCAATTTCAGCAGGCCTGTGACTAATACTAAACTGGGGGCAGGGGTCAAATGTTGGAGGACAGGACTGCAAGTCAGAGGGACCTGGGCAGGCTGGAGAAATAAGCTAACAGGAATGAAAATGAAGTTCAAAGAACAAGTTTAAGGTCTTTAATCTGAGATGGAACAAGTCCATGCAACTATCCAATGCCTTGTTTACTGATTGTCAATTAATCAAACATTGTTAATAAATAAATGAATTGCTTTGATCCTGATTTGATTTAAACCATGTCCATTCAGGAGTTTTTCCCAGCAGCAGCTGAACACTGTGTGACAAAATATGCCTAAATGTTTTTTTCCTTGGCTTTCTTCCAAAGGGTAATACTGCTTTTGGAATGATGCAAAAGGGCCATTCTTCAATCTTAGTCAAACAGTACTGCATTCTGGTTCACAACATTCAAAGACCTTCTTGTTTCATGGTGTTAGAAAACAGTGACTTTTAAGAAACTTCTCTATTCCACAGAGCTAATGGGTATTTTCTGAAGTTCTGTAAAGACAGTGCAGAGTTTTACTACAGAGGAAAGAAAAATGGCAGTGGAAACCAGTAAATCTGTTCAAATGAGTGTACAAAAACATAAATAGCATAGATATGTTTTTAAGAAGTATACAATTGAAAATGAACTAAAACTGAAATGAAATAAGTAAATATATTCTCAGTGTGTTTTACTCTGGTAAGGAATGAAACTGTTCAAAACTGTTGCTACCTTTCTAAAGGAAAATGTTTATTATCTACTGGGTATATTGCTTTAAAAACAATAAATCCATGGACTTGCAAAAGTCCAAATAGGAGCACAGTAACTTGCAGCACCACACACAGTTAGACACATTAATTACAGGTTTATCCACATTCTTTACAGCATCCTACAATAAAATGGTAAAATAAATTCTGTCATTTCTGGTGAAAAATCTGATACTCATTTGAGAATGAGATAATTCCGGTGGAGTTAATATCAAGAAAAAAAAACAAACAAAAAAACAACAAAAAAAAAAAGAAGCCAGAGGCAGGAGAAAGTTTATATCTTTTACAATTAGTTATTCTACAAAATTTTGTCCAAGATTTTTTCTTTGTGTCTGTCTTTTAAAAGTTGTCTTCTAGCTCTGTCACAGAAAAGGCAACATCACTAATATTAATGAAACTGGGATTACTTATAATTATGGGTCAGATATTAAAGGTAGGAAGAAATCCTTTAACAATGAAATTTACCGTGTGTTTTTTGTAATATTAAATAATCTCTTTTTGCCGTTATAGTTGCAATGAATTATTATTCCAAGAACTGAGAGACATAGTATATCCTTGGTAATAGTATGACTAGAAATTGTGCTGACATAACGCTAAAGTATTTTCATGTTTATTACACATTTTCCCAGCTAAGCATACACATTTCTTGCATATATTGTATTCATTAAAACAAGCAAACTAACCATTATGTCCCCAGGACACCTCTCCTGGAAGGCTGATATTCATGTTTTAACAATCAGCATATAGAAACATGGTAAATATTCATATAAACTTCGAAAGAAAGTCAAAATGCATTGTCTGCACTTTGACAGTGGTATATGACATAAAATTTTAATAAACAAATTTCCATACTCAGAAACCTTTGACTGGTTTTCCCCAAGTTTGTACAACATGCAGAAGCTGCTGATTTCAGCTATAAGGCTGAAATCGGAGAAGCTGGGGGGGGGAAATGCAGTTAGTACTTTCAATGTTCTTGGAATTAATTTGACCCCTCCAAAAGATAAACAGAAATGTCGTTGTACAACTTAATTGAATATGCTGCTTTTTGCAGCTGCCCACATCCCTCTGGATCTGTTCACCTGTGTCATCAATGCTGCAATGGTGCAAATCACCTAAACAGAGATGTAGGAACCTGAAGCAACATAGGAGGAGGAAAAAAGAAAAGTTTTCTGGCTATTCAAGGCCAATATTCTGTATCTTTCTCCAATTATCAGCCAAGTCAAGGGTATCTTTAGTAGAGAAAGCTAGATGCCAGATGTGAAGTCACATGGATGGTCATGTAGCTGTTCCTATATTTATAGTCCACTTGGGGGCATGAAATTTATTTACAACTTATTGTTTCAGTTGAACTGATCTGTGGACAATGACTTGGTCCATACTCATTTAGGGTTTTCCATGCATTTTTCAATTTTCTCAGAAATTTGAGAATTGTTAATAAATAGTGCAGTCATGAATTCCTAAGCTACTAAGAGATGAAGCATTAGGCTAATGTTGAATAATGCATTCAGAGGCTGCTTAACAGTGCTATTATGTAGTCCATTCCCAACTAATTTGGACATAACCTGCTCAACTCTATCAGTAACAATATATGTGATTAATGACAAAATCACCTTGTGACAGATAATTGTCAATATTCCTAGGGAAATGAAGATACCTAAATGTAGTTTTTAGGCACAAGTTGTATTTTCCAAACATAGGAAAGTTGTGTCACTGTGGTAAAAAAACTAAAAAAAATTTAGAATGTGCATTATGCAAAAGGATATTTGCACAAGTAAGTAAACATTCACTTAAGGTGAAAACTTGAAGTCATCCCAGTGGAAGATTCTCACAAAAAATTGATTTAGCAACACGGTGTGTAATAAGAGACACCTTTGTGTGTCTGTCTGATTGTCAGCTAGACTATATTCAGTTATCAGAGCATGATACCAGAAAATGATGTCCTAAAAAGTGACCAAGGATTTAGGGTGGTAATTTATTCTATCCAACATTATAAAATTTTCAGGAAACGCAAACTCAAAAACATCATAACAGGGCCTGAAAAACAGATCCTTTAAGAGATATCCAAGCTAGGCAAAGACGACTTCAGGCAAGCCAAATAATTCTCACCATGTCATTACATACATCAGGAAAAGTTTTTATTTAACTGTGGGATATTTCCAGCATAAATAAAAAACATATTTCACCTCCAAAGTAGAAATAATCTCCTGAATAAATTTGCAGAGGTGTGGAGGCATGAGCAGATGAGGTCACATCATTGTCCACTATTACACTGACATGATTCCTTTTGGCAGAGAAGGATACAGAATGCCACTGGCCATTATTTAATCCAGCACCTGGAAGCAAAATAAAAGGCAAAATGAAGTGTAAACATCCATTACTTGTTATACTACCTGAATGTTATAGACTTGAAAGAATGAGAGAACGGTAGAGTAATCATAGCCCAAATAAAACTCCAAGTGATAATGAAAGGAAAAAAAAAGGATAAAGAACACGAACGTCTTTTGTGAAGACAGAACCTTTGTCCATTCCCTTGTTTTGCATCTGGTAAAGAAAAAATAAAAATACTTCAGTGAATAAGTCTTACTGTTGTAATACTCCTAATTATAAGTAATACGTCCATTTAATATAGTGACTATGAAAAGTATCCTGCCAATCTAAGGAGGTTATCATTAAGAAAGGCACTGCCATTGTGATGGCTGATACAGTATTTTATACATAATACACATTTTTACTGCACTATTACAAAGGATTTCTTCATCTTTTAAAATCAAAGGTAGCCATTATATTACAACCCAGCAAAATACCAAAATCCTGTAGATGTTAAAATCTTCAGCAACTGTCATATCAATGTCACAAGATTATTTTTCTTTCAGATTTCTCTTTTATTGGAAATGTATGGGAAAATGCTCTGGGTTTAGCTTCTAACACCAATTTACATTACCTTTGGCTGTGTAAGTGTAAGGTGCCACAAAGCAACAATCTAAAGCCCTGATTCTGAAAAGTATTTACATATATATAGACTTAAATAAATTTTATACAGGTCAGTATATAAGCACATTAGTATCTTTAAGACGTGCTTTAAGTCAATCATGTTCTTGAGTGATCTTCAGAGCAGAGATATTTCTTTTGGTAAAGAACAAAGAATACAACATTTGAATTATGTGAAGTCTTTTCTTGACTGCAGAGTGCCTATCATTTGTGATCTGTGATTTCCCTCTTGAAATTTCATGTATTTATATAATCCTCTCTAGAAAGTGTGGTATATTCTAGAGAAATAGTCCATCAGTTAACTGATTAGTTCAAACAGAAGGAAAAGAAATTAAAATAGAAAGATGAGAAGATTCAAATAGCTAAATTACATCAGAACTAGGATCCATATATTGTTAACTACCACAGTTTAAACACAAGATCAGCATACAATCAAGAGATAAATCTTAGAATCACATTATAAATTCAGATAAATTATCATCTATAAAAATCTCTAATATATTTAATATAATATTAGTCTTATACACCTTTTCTATTATTTATTTCCTTACTTCAACAGTATATTTATTAGGGATCACATAACAGGAAACCTTAGACCTTTTGCTATATTCCCAGCCTCAGTGGAATTGTATAAAAGCTATGGCTAAAAGATCTTATCTTTGTGTTGCACTTTCAGGAACAATTCACCTTTCTAACACAATGTCAGAAAGTACAGGGCCGTAGTCATGGGTTTTCTGATACCATTCTGGCCATTACTTATTTTCGTTGCAATCTTCTATGAGAAGTGGCATTTGAGTTTGCTAACAGGAGCAGTACACTTACAGTCAGACTAAATAATCACCATTAAAGCTATCACTAATTTTCTGGGTAAATAGGTGTATTTTCTACTTCTGTAAAACTCTATATTGATTATATTTATAATGATGGACTTTCTACTAAAATAAGAATTGGAAACCTTATTCCACACAATATAAAATAGTATTAATGCTATTACACCTGGCTACCAAAAGGTCATCTGTAGAGGGGTAATCTTTTGATAACAAGTATTTATATAGCCCTACAGGCAATGTGGAGAGAGTGACTAGAGTTTCCCTGTATTTTCAAGATGTCCAACTGCTGAAGAAGTCCCTTTGTACTGGTGGCAGTTAATATAACTGGCATACGCTTGAGCTGAGGATGAAGAAAATATCTTAAAGCCTAGCAATTTTACCTCTAGTTATATTTTAGCTAGGTCATATGATGTGTAACAGTCATTTAAAAAACAGAGTAAATAAATCATTCAAAAAATATTATTGCTGCTTTGCAATATCAGGGGCATAGATGAGTCACACTGTATAGTGAAGTTTCTAGACTTAATGAGTACTATTATTTAACTCTCCTATTTTTTTAGTACTGTCTTACAGCAAGAACTCATCAAATATATCAAAAGGTTTTACTAACTCCAAACAAAAATCAACAAAGAATCACAAACAGATAAAGCACCCTTAGGTCTTTTATACCACTGTGAACCTCAGTGAACTATACTCTTTCATCAAAGAGATAATAGGTATGCTAAAACAAAGAATATGAATAATGTATTTTTTAAAGCACAGAAAATTAAGTCTGAGAAAGGTTTTTTTCCCAATTTCCAGTAATATAATTAGTTTTCTTCTATAAATTAGTGTAGAATTATCCTTCAATAAGAAACTAAATTGTAAAATATATATAGTCTATAACACCACTTGTCACACTGTGCTTTTAAGATTAGCCATTTCAGAAAATAATTTTTAAAAAAGGAATTATTTCCCTGCTTATTTATTTCCCTACTTATTTATTTCCCTTTTTCTAGCCTCCATCCCAGGTACCAAAAGCTCCAGCTTTTTGCACGTTGTCTTTAAGATTAAGCAAAGAGTTTCTTTATTTGCAGAGGTACTTCGAGTGAATGATGTTTTCCTCAATCACATCTCTGCAATATGCTATCTTTTCCTTTAGTAATCATAGAATCATAGAATCATAGAATAGTTTGGCTGGAAGGGACCTTTAAAGATCATCTAGTGTAATCTCCCTGCCACGTGCAGGGATTTCTTTTACTAGATCAGGTTGCTCAAAGCCCTGCACAGCCTGACTTCGAACACTTCCAGGGGTGGGACACCAAAATCTAACCTCTTTCAGTTTAAAACCGTTATCCCTTGTCGTGTCACTGCAGGTCCTGGGAAAAATCCTCTCTCCATCTTTGTTTATAACCTTTTTAAGTATTGAAAGGCCACAATAACATCTCCCCAAAGCCTTCTCTTCTCCAGGCTGAACCCCAAATCTCTCAACCTTTCTTCATAGGAGAGGTGTTCCAGCCCTCTGACCATTTTTATGTCCCTCCTCTGGACCCACTTTAACAGGTTCATGTTTTCCTTGTGTTGGGAACCCCACAACTGGATGCAGTACTCTAGGTGGGGTTTCATGAGAGTGGAGTAGAGGGGGAGAATCACCTCTCTCAACCTGCTGGCCATGCTTGCCATGCTTCTTGTTATGCAGCCCAGGATACAATTAGCTTTCTGTGCTGCAAACACACATTGCTGTCTCATACATGATTTTTTCATTTACTAGAATCCCCAAGTCCTTCTCTGGAGGACTGCTCTCAATCCATTCATCTCCCAGTCTGTACAGATATTGGAGATTGCCCTGGCCCAGGTGCAAGACCTTGCACTTAGCCTTGTTGAACTTCATGAGGTTTATTTTCACTGGTGCCGCAAGCCTCTCAAGGTCCCTCTGGATGATATCCCTTCCCTCTAGTGAATCAACTGCACTGCTTAGTTTGGTGACATCAGCAAACTTGCTGAGGATGTACTCAATCCCACTATCTATGTCATTACTGAAGATATTAAATCTAACAATAAATTCTGTAATTTTATTTCAGTTGTTGCAAGAATAATTGCAAGGATAATCTTAATCCTGCTTCAATAACTTATTGTTCTGGTGAGAAAACCATATTCCAAATATTGCAATATTTCACTGTCAATGTAGGTAAGAGAATGTCCTAACAAAAAGAAGGAAATTGAAAGAACGACTAAATTAGAAAAAAATTTTTGGTTACTGGAAAACAGATTATCTGAATTTTGCATTTTTTTATTTGTTTACTGTAGTTCATCATACTGACTTACTAAATGATTTTGGGGTGGATGTTTTATCTCCTCCTCGTACAGGGTGGCATGATTAGAGATACTAAATGATGTTCATTTAGCTAAAGTCAAGATTTCCAAAAGTCCCTTTCATTAAGTCTGGGAACTGAGGAATGCCATTGTGGGAGCACAAGACACTCCTGAGAAAACAGCTCAGTATAGCCCTCGAATTGATAACCTTGATTAAATTCACATTTGCTTGTGCGAAGCCACAGAGTGGTACGACATATAAATGGCGGAGGCCAACAGACTGCTAACGTTTCCATTCCATCTGAAAATGATATTGTCTGGTACTCTACTAGAAGTTTTAAAAATGCTTTATGAGAAACAAGTGAGGAAAAAATAGCAATTAAACTTTTAGTGCATAATAAGGTAGCTATTAAACAAGATATCCATTTATGCTCATTAGTAGTGCTACCATCATTTTAATATCTAAGTACTAAAAAAATGGTCTGTAGGAGGTCTTGCAGAACAATGACATCCAACCTTAGGAACACATACATAAAAAGATAATATTTGTAGCATATTAGGAGATCAGAGAGAAACAAAAAAAAAACTAGAGAAAGTAATTCATAGATTAGTCTGAAGTATAACCACTAAATGCAACGATTGTTAACATCACTTAATTAAAAGTTGCACAGAAATTTAAAGCTGCATAGAAAGGCAGGGTCATATGAAGAAACTGAGTAATAAGATCTCAAACATTTATACATGTTGCAATTTAATTTGGCTTCATCATTCAACACAAATTTTCTTTGTGAATATTTGATGACCAGCTTGCAAAAGATGCTACAAAGGAAAGATATTAAGCAGCAATTCTGTAAAAGGATATAGCTTATTACAACTTAATCACTTATGAATTCACATGCCATTCTCCTCATTTTTATACGGTTGAAGAAATCTTTAAAAAACACATGACAAGGAATTTAAGAACTGTGCATGAAGAAATATGCTCTGATTTAATTATCAAATATCATGTGTGTGTGTGTAAGTCAGGTCATAAGTCCTTGCCTGTAGGGGCACAAACCTGTCCAGCCATCCATAATTTAATTACTCAGCCTCCAAATGCAGACTTGAATTGCTTCAGTAAGTGTAAAAATAAACACTTCAAAATCTCAAGAAAATGTTCCCCATATGGTTTTGTTAGATAACTTTTCTCTCAGAAGAGAATAAGATGTTTTTGCAGTAGTTTCTGTCTTCACAAGGACAAACACAATTCCTCCTGTTAGACTTTATGAAGAGTAAGCTTAACATAGTATGAGAACATTAAATTCTATTTCTGCATAGAGTGTCAAGATTTACTTTGGGGTGTTTCAGCTAATACGTTATGTATTGTGTTGCAACTTTGAAAGTGAATAAATTGCTCTATATGCAAGTCTACAGCTGTTAAAAGTGCCACCAGCTTCAGCTGGTCTGTTAAAATGACACTGCATGGCAATAGTTTCTTTAACATAGATCACCTAATTGAACTGCAATTGAAATAGCTCCTAAAAAGCCAAATTCATCACTGTTAACTACATGCCACTGACATTCTTACTAAGGAACTGACATTTTCAAATAGTGAGCCTAGGGAAACCTCTTGTCATTAAAATGGTACTCTCTATGCATCAGTTATTTTAGGTTATAATAAATACCAGGGATGATCCTATTATCACCCGCAGAAACAGGATCAAAGTATTTATATAAATTTCAACATTATCCATGGTCATTACTGCCTTAGAATCTTTTCCTGAATTAAAATAATCAACTGTTTAAAATTTTACTTTTAATCCTTATACAACTGTGGAAACATAATAAGCTTCAGAGTTATGTTTAACTTTTTCTTTTTTCTTTTTCTTTTTTTTTTCCCCTCAAAGGAATTTTCATTTTGTATCAGGAATTGAAGTGAGGAATCGATCTAAAAGAAACAGGGGCACAAAATGAAGATTAAGGAGGCCTCATCTTCAAATCCTGTGGCTGTTTCTTTGCTCTGCTTGGCTCTGCTTTGCTCTCTTTGTCTGCCTTACACTGCCAAGCACACGGTCTGTGAATATTTTAGATAAGTGATTCTTATTTTGTGTTTGTACCATTTATAATATTTTTGTGAAATTTTCTCCCTCTTTTATGTAACTTTTTTAATTCTGTGGGGTCCAAAAGAGATTTTTACTTTTATGATAAATGTTTTATCATTTATTTTTATTTTTATTTCAGTAACTGCTTAGTTCACCTACTATATTTGTTATTGCTTAGAACAACTAACACTAAACAGCATCATTAAACTCTCTATATTCTGGCTTGAAAACTCCCCTGAAAGATACCCTTGGTTTGGTTCCTAACACTCCAATGAATATACAAGATTAAATTCTTCACACATTCAAATCCTTAACTTGTTTTCTAAGTACCAATGCAAAATGTAGTTTTCCAACTTGTTATTCACCCGTTAATTCAGTTTACACATTGCATTACTGGAACTAAGTTGGCTTCTTTTTCACTGATAATATTCCTGCTTTATGAATATGAAATATGAAATATGAAATATATGATTGTGTACAGTTCAAAATAAACCTAGGATCAACTGATGTTTTGGATATCATTATTGTGTTTTCTGCAGCCAAATTACTCATTGCTTCTATGACATATTCCTCCAGCTAGTGGTCTCTGGTCATCTTCTTTGTCCATACAGAAGCCACTCCAATCCCAGCCTCATTTCCTCATCTTCATATGTTCTTTGGAATCCCATTTATGTGGTCAACATCTCTAGTCCTGTTTTTCCTGTCTGAGAACTCATTCTGGAATGACCATTTTATCCTTCTACAAGAAAGGGGCAAAATTCAATTTGTTTACATAAAGGATGAGAAACTCTAAGGCGGCTGTGATGCATGGAGTGTCAGAGCATAGATACTACTGATGACATGGTGCTAGGTGAAGGTATTGATATTATCACATGGTGATGTTACTGTTTCTCACCATTTTTCAAAAAGTCATGGAAATTGAAGATGTTATCAGCTCTGTCCTGCTCTCACATTTCATGAAAGAAGGAGATTCCTGGCTGGGGCAGCAGTCTTGCTGTTCTCACATCAAGTGCTAAGAGCACTCAGGAAAACTGAGGAGTGTCTTTGTGAAAGAGGGAGTCCCCTTGCTCCCAAACTGAGTAAAAGTGAAAGCTGGGAGCTGCTTCTCAGAATCCCAGCTGGATACTCTCTAACATGGCTGTATCTTACTATATTTGTCTCATCCTTTTGTCCTTGCCAACAGGGAAATGGTTCAGAAGAAGACTAGAGGGTATGTTTTCTGGAAATCTCAGCTCCATCCTGAGGGCTGCCTAGAAGTGCACACTACCAAAAGTGGATGACCTAGTCTCAATTCAGTGTTTAACTACAAAAGTGACCCTTTAGCTCTCAATTATTCAATCTCCTCAACTTCTCCGTTACTTTTTGTCCTTACTATACTTTTTTTTTTTTTCTTCTTAAATATAGACTCAAACTTGCCCCAGCTTTCTGGAACACAACCTGGTATTGGGCATTCACTGTCCAAATTTAATGGACAGGTCTGTAATTGAGACCTCTAGAAAATAACAAACATAATATTTATAATAATGTATAACTTTATAAAAAAATGAGTTTTGATGCCCTGTGAAGGCACTGACAAATGGTGGAAAACATTTTAATGGCTTAGCTTGACAGAGTAAGAAATTATCTTGTTTATACTTCATAACTGAAAAAGTTGCTCTAGATGTCTCAAATTTCCCAGATTATACATGAGCTTTACATACTGTACATATGTAAAGCTAAGGACTCAATTTTGCAGCCTATACTATTGCAATTTCTACTCAATCAAGGGGAAAAAAGCATAGATACATGACAGTGAGAAAAGATTCTACTCAATCCAGGGGAAAAAAGCATAGATACATGTTTGTGAGAAAATTCGGGATTACATTTCACACAAGTAAAGCATAGTTACACAAATACTAGTCATAAAACTAAGTCAAGAATGTAGGTACTAATTTAAATATCTTTACATCAACTTATTTTTTTATGCATAGGAACCTTGGATTTTTTTTCTTCATTTCTGTTACCTGCAGTGATGTCACTCAGTGCTTTTCCTGGTTTATGAAGACTGATTTTAACTTTCCCATCACTCAAATATAAGAGGAAACCACCTGAAGCCTGGTGTAGTTTACTAGATAATAGAAGTCCCTCCTTGTTCCAGGTGCGAAACTGGAAACTGATGAATACTTCGTCTTGCCCTGATGTGCCTGGCAGTGCCAAGTAACTATTGGAGCTCAGAAATGTAACAGGAACCACCTGTGGCTCTAAACATGAGAAGGACATGTTTCCCTAGAAAGAAATTAAACAAATACGGCATTAGGAACATTCGGGGAAAACCAGTCATGAGAACTTTTGTATGGATACTACAGACTTTCAAAATATTGTGAACAGAACCTAGTATTTCTAATACTTGAATTATGTTAGTCTAAAAATCAAGTATGAATATGTAAGAACATCAGTTTGAGAGATGTTTTCCTAGTTGTTTGACCAGTACAGACATATCTGCCTGAGAAAAGAGTGGCAAGGACTTTTGAGTGAATGAGGTAAGATCCTAAATTGTGTGGGTGATTTAATGATACTGTAGGAGTTAGGCAGACCTGCTTTGTTTCTATTTTGGCTCAGCCGCAGGAAGCATTAGGGACTTGACAAATTTCTGAATGTCAGATAAAATGCCACTGAATGCAAAGTTTGGTACAAATATTTACATGGGTCTAAATGCTTGTATGCAGAGAAAAATGTCGAGCTTGGCTACTGACTGCTTAAGGAAGTGCTAAATCTGAGAAAAAAACCATTTTGCCAGACCAAGGAGCAGTCTTTCCAAATCACTGCAACTGGAGATGTGCACTGACCCCAGTATTTGTTTTCACAAACAGACAAAGTTCCACTTATAAACTCTTGCTACTTACAAATGTGAAAGACATACTTCATAAATCAGAAGGAAATGTATTTTCAAGCAGGCACATATGGACCAGATCATGAGTTGTATTTAGGCACCTAGCTTTTATTTTGTGCTTGACTGCTTCAGAAATCACTGTTTTTTAGGTACCTAAATAAACTTACGGATAAGTTTGTTGACAAAATCTGAGTTTAACCTGAATCTGTGGTTGTACTGAGTGATATAGATAAGAAGACTGGAATGGGAATAATGCATTTTTTGCATCTGGTGTCAAGCGTTAGTTAATACTTTATGACCTTTGATAGTGTTACAATATGCACTTTGATCTAATGACTTGCTGGCACCATTCGAACTATAACTAATTTGTTCTGTAAAGATGATTACTAAAATATTAATGGCTTTATAATTTAAAGTACATTGAACTTCTGTTCAACACAAAGAGCTTTTAAACTTTTGAACATGCATAAAACTTTGACCTTATAGTAAAGAGCTAAAAAATCAATTTAAGAATGATGCTCACTAAGCCCTGGCATGGCAAGAAACTAAAGTTTATCCGTTTTCATTTTCTTCAGGGAAAATATATAAATAAATAAAGCCTCTGTCTTATGAACTCAGCTGTAAAGAAATGAATAGTCAACTGAACTGACCCGTAGTGAAAAGGCAGTGATCAGATTAATAAACCTTGTTAAATGCTAAAAGCTTACCGTCTGCAGATTCCCCTTCCACGTTATCTGGACAGCTGCCTGATACTGTATCAGACCAGCAAAGTGGCTATTTGACAAGGATTCTATGGTAACATAGATAGTTTCTGGAACATTTATATTATCAAACATCTCCTAAATAGTTTTGAAAGTAGCACAACAGTTTCAATCATTTGAGATGAAGATGATGAAATTTCCTATGACAATAATTTCATAGTTCCCCTTTCATTAGCCCACAGAGAGCCTCATGTAACTGCCCTCTTCCCAACATCCATCATGATGCATCATGGACAGGATATTATATGGAGGTGTCAGTTTAGTTAATTGTGGAATATTTCAGATGAGCTTCACATGAGAAGAGATGCCTGTCATCCATTTTTTCTGGGACAGAGAAGTAAATTTGATTGTTCTTATTCTGAACTGAAATCCAAATCAAATATTTGGAGCTTGAAAGCATTTAATATTTTGTTAATTATTTTGAACTGATTGTTTCCATCTTACCTCTACATTTCCTGCTGCTAAATAAATAAATACTGCAAACAGAGATGGCTCCTGTACTATCGGAAAAAAATCAAAGGACTTAGCAAAATTTATAGAAAACTTTCTGTAACACAGAAGAAAGTTGGTTCCTTATTGAAACCATTTCTCTAATACAACTGCTGGTCATGACACAATAAATGCATTAAACCCACCAACCTAAACTGCAGCTCTTCAGACAAAGGGCAGTATAAATTGACAAACAGAACTTATCTATCAAAATTATAATGCTCTGGAGAAAACAGAGTAGATCAGTGTCCGCAGTAATTGAAGGCTTTTAAAATGTACTGCTGGTGTTCTTACCATTCAGGTACAGAAGTCAAAGCCAGAACTTCAATGACTTCAAATTCATCTTATGTCACTCACTGGCTTTTGTACATGCATGGCAGTGAGATACCACACAACAGTCAAATATCACACACATCCAAATATCAGCTAAAGAGCTGAAGAATAAAATGCATCCTGCATTGTTTACTGGATGAGTCTGTACAGCAGCAAATGTAGAATAACCCAATTAGGTGATTCCTTGATCTTCTTTCATTATACAACATAGATTTTACTAGAACTGTGTGTTAACAGGTTGCTTATGAAAGTGGCTGGGGGCTTTTTTTTTTTTTTTTTTTTTTTAATAAATATTTTCAAAACACCCATGAAAGTTCCTGCGTGACAATGTCCCTGATTTTCCAGGCACTGGGATCCCTCCAAAGCTGAGCTTAGAAAGAGAAGAGAAATCAATGATACTATTAAGTAATTTTCTAAGGAAAGAAGTTGCCAATAGCGTAAGAAGATAAGTCAAAGACTGGCCAATAACGAATCTGCTACTTCTTGGCTATTTTCTTGTATCACATCTACGTATTAAAAGAACAGGCCAACAAAAATTAGGCTATATCAAGTCATATGTATGCGTTAAAATATTCTGAAATGTTGGCTTTTTTTTTTCTTTTGAGGATACCTCTTAACAGTTGCTTAGTATAGAGTCTTATCAGTTTTCAGGGTCCGTTACAGCTGCAAAGCCAAGGAGAAGAAGGACAAGGCCCAGGACATGGAGACCATGCTGAACAGTGTGAAAAGGAAGAAGAGAATTCACTAACAACTTATTTAGCAAATTTGATCCTGACTGCTCCACTGTGTGCAAATCATAACTACCATAACAGAGAACAAGAGTGCATCAGATTAAATTATACTAGGGTAGACTCACAACAAATGAAAGGAAATACTTTTTCCTTCTCAAAATGTGCGGGTTGTGCAGTTTCTTGATGTGATGCTGTAGGTTTACTTGGCTTCAGAACGAGATTGGAAGATTTAATAAAAATAAAAATCTGTTGAGAGCTATTATATTCAAGAATATCACTCTGTCTTAATAAGTCCCTGAGTCAGAAACTGTTAGAAAGCAAATTACTTTAGAAAAACATTGCCACAAGGGTTACCTGAGTCATACTTTGGTCCATGTTTCCAGTCTTGGGCACCATCAGAAACAGGATGCCAGTTTAAGTGAACTTTTGAACTCACTCATTTCAAAGTTATTCTGGTTGACATTGTAGAAAAGGTCAGTTTAAACTATTTATCTTCTAATTTTGAAATTTCACTTAATATTTAAAATAATT